TGATTTCATATAAAGTCTCAGCTTTCACAGCTTACTAGCGATATCGCTAGCTATTAATAGTCTGCCACTGGTGGCTAATTAAGCTGTCAACATAAAGCTAAAAATGACCAAAAAACATACAGAAACAACTGTTCAGTCTTACCTGTGAAAGATAATACCCCGAGATCTGTTTTTATTATTGTGCAATGGTTTGTAGATGCCCAAGCTGCCGACGAGTCAGGTATGTTTTCGCCAGTCCCGATATGACAGTTGCCTTCACCAATATGGCGGCGACGTTGACGTGCGGTCGAGCGGCCAATGAGGCGTCTAGGTATTTATTATGTCTATGCTTATGAACAGCAATGATACAGTGTTTCCTTGGTTACCGCTGTAAACAAAGCAGCGCTGAACTTATGAACTTTAATATGCATTATACAGAGGAAAGAAGAAAAGAAAAAATACCATATAAACTTTTCTAAAGAGAGCTTGTATCAAAAAAACGAAACATCTCACAGTGAAGCACTGTACCGGGGCTTGATTCGTTTTGCCAAAACCATGTGATCTGTGACGTCCGAAGCTTGGTTTTCGCACACAACCACGTGACTGCTTCGTATTCTGATTCAAATAACGCGAACCACTTGCGCAGTTTCAAGTGTCACACGTCTTTGAAAAGAATAAATCATAATACAAATAAATATTTGCATACATGCATGTGTATTGTTGTGCATGTTCATTTTGTATTTATTCCTGGTTCACAGACACTTTAACTGACCATTCTATGATAATATTCGGTTATTTTGATCATAACCTATACAGTATATGCCTATAGCCTTGCCTATTTTTTCCCCAAAAAAATGTCACTGACTAATTTATTCATATTGTGTAATACAATGACTGACATGGACTTATTTATATAGACTTCATATTTTCTTTGCCTTTTTCAGGTTTTCATAGCACAAACTAATTTATTATCTGAAACAGTCCAAAAATGGCTGGGTCGTCTCGCAAAGGCAGCTTTTTCCACCTTTTGACTACAAGATGTCGTTAGTGTGCACTGTTTTGAAAAGCTTTGAGTAATGAACCTTTTTACGATACAGTTGAGGGAAATGCCTCGGTGCTTCGCAAAGCTTCATTTTTCCATCACTACCATTCATTATTTCCATTCCCGCCTTCATCCACATCAAACATTTTATCCTCCATTTCCGGATCACTTCCGGAATCTACGCCACTTCCTACCATGCACTCTCCAGTCACAGATCAGCTGTTGCCAAACCGCCCTAACCTCTCCCCGGACTCACTCTCCAGTCACAGATCAGCTGTTGCCAAACCGCCCAGAAACTACCGTCAACTCGCTGCCCGAGCCCAGAGTCCCAGTGCTCGTCAATCCGAAAAAACAGATCATCTCCTGAAATTAACTTTTATATCTGTGCTGTGGCGCATTATGGGATGTGGGAGAAACCAAACTAGAGGATAAAATGGATTTTTGTTGTTTCAAAATTTAATTACTGTAACGATGCATAAATGTCTGTTAAATAATAATTTGTGGATTAATGCATGTACAAAAAGTTATTTGATGAATATAATTTCTGGTCGCTTGCTTCCCCATCAATGGTTGTGCCCATGAGTATAAATGCTCACAAGCTGAAGTTTCACAGGATTGTCAGTGTAAGATGGAGGTTTGAAAGTAAATAACCTGTTGGAGATTGATATCATTGTGAGTGAGAATATCTTGTTAATGTTGTTTTTTTATTGTACTTTATTTTTTAATTATTTACCTTGCTTTAGTGATGGGCAAATGAAGCCTCATGAAGCACTTAGGCTTTCCTCTGACTGTTTCGGAAAAAGATTAAAAGCTTTGAGAGTGTCAAAAACAGGGCCATCTGGTGGTTAATAAGAAATATAGCAGCCAAAAGCCTGTGAAAGACGCTCAGTCAGATTAAGCAGCAACCACAAATTCCATTAACTCATGTTATGTGCACAAATAAAAGCCTAACAGTGTGTTTGTGTTTGTTTGTTGAATTTCTCTCTCTGATAAAATAATTTACCCATTAAACTGTGGCATTTAATGCCAGTAATAAAATCAATATGATGTAATAGAAGAATAATACACAAATATATGCATTGCATATGGCAAATATTTAGTTTTTTTCTGAAATAATTTTTATTCTTCATATTACTTGTATAACTGGGTATTTAATTGAATAAGTCTGAATGAAAACTTATGTAAAGTAAGATCTGGGGGGAACATTTCGACAGCGCACATGATTGGAAAGAAAGTGAGGTTTCATTTTTCGTTGATCATGTGATTCTCTGAAAACAATACGCGCGCCAGCACAGAGCTTCGTGAGAAATTGCGCTGCGTATTCAATACATGCTTTGAAGCTTCAGTGTCATATGTAACATCACTACCTTGCTTATATAATTGTGATTTTAATGGTACTAAAACATCTAACACATGGGGTGGTTCAGTCCTGCAGAGTTCAGCTCCAACCCTAATCAAACACACCTAAACCAGCTAATCAATGTCTAAGGCAGGGTTCCTCAAATCTTACCCTGGAGGGCCAATGCGCTGCAGAGTTCAGCTCCAACCCTGATCAAACACACCTGAACTGAAGGTCTAAGGGTTTCTAGAAAGCTACAAGCAGCTGAGTTTTTGTCTGCATGCGCAGTTTGAGTGTGTGACACAGATGTTAAGAGCTGCATCAAGAGAAACCACCTCAGAGGAGAGTATTCAGCATAGATTGTGAATGCATGTTTCCGTAACTGTTTCAGTTTCACTATTGTTTATTTATTTTTTTATCAATTTCAATTAGGACTCAATGCTGGCACATTCTGAAGGAACTTGATTATTTTTGTTCACAAACAATCTGTGCGCTTGAGGATTAATAGCTAATTGCAATTTCAAATGCTTCATCATTGTTGGAAATGGGTGAGTAACATCCAGAAATTCACCCACATAAAGCTTGTATAGATTAACGGTTATAGACATTTAGACATATATGGTTTAAATTGTGGATGCTAACCAAATGCAATGGTTGCAAAGCATTGCTGTGCATGTGATTAATCTGAGTAAAGAGCTATTTTTATTTTATTTTTGTTAAACCCTTGATATTCAACATCCTCAATGTTGTGGTGAACTGTACAAACTGGAATTGATAAGAGTAAATGTGTTTTTATGCAAATTATGCTATAACATCATATGCAGAAAATGTCCTTTTTAAAATGTCATCTCAAATGGTCAACAGTCCCTTAAGTCTGGTATTAAAAACATCTGACCGTGCCAAAGGAGCTCTTACCAACACCTGGCAAGGTAAGAGTCCTCCAATAGATTTTACCTAACCTAAGATCAGATAGATGGGGCGCCCCAAACTTATTGACAGAAATTTAGATCCGTCTAACAATGTGCACACTAGAGAGTTTCAGAGCTGGTTCATTCATGGCTGCATTGATAACTGCTTGTTTATTTACCACTTGTGACTGTATGTTTGAGTTAACACTCCGCATGTCTGCTGTGCATTTAGGTTTTTGTCTGATTGATACTATTGATTGTCCCAAAGCTGACTTTATTCCAGCTGTAGCCACACTGTCCTCTGGTCGAATCGAGGTCTCAGTCAAGCCTAACATGAGCAAAGCAACACTTTCCTCTCAACTAGGGGTGTAATGGTACACACATTCGTACCGAACCGTTTCGGTACGGGTCTTTCGGTTCAGTAGGCATGTGTACCGAACGAATACAGTGTGTTTTTTTTTTTTTTTTCCCTTCCAGGAAATTAAAATAATAAATGGCGTTTTGACAGTCTTTGATGTGGCATGACAGATCGCTGTATAAACACCTTGGAGAGCCGCTTCTGGGACTGTTCAGAAACGTGCTGGTATAAACCCAACACAAGCATTGACTAGAGCGGCCGTGATCAGCTCTGGTTCCGTGTCGAGCCGTAACGTGCCACAGACTTGTGCAGTGTAAATGGCAGAGCGGAGAGCGAGGGAACGCGATCATTCCTTCCTCTGTACTACTAGTTTTACCGCGAATAAACATGACTGAATATCTCACGCCTCATGTAATTGCTCAATCAGTGTTTCAACATCAAAGACATCAACAAAACAGCATGGAAATAAAATGTCACGTAGCATTTAATTTACCTCAGCAGGTCATCAGTGTCCACAGCTCGTTAGTTCACTAGAGAAATGAGCAGCATTTCGCGAAATATTACACCATATATGCTACTCATTATATTTTACTGAACCTGTTAGTCTTAATTATTTATTGTATGTTTAAATTAATCTGTTATGAAACATATTGACAGGCAGTGTGTAATTGAATATATTTGAACAAATAGCCTAGAATTTTTTTTTTTTATATGCTGATCATCTATTTAAAAATAAATGGTAATTAAATGTAAGTTTGGGTTAAGTTGTTAGGCCTAATTGTAACCTTATGTAAAAAGGCTTCCTATAGTTTTAAGCATAAGCTGTGGTCGTTTTTTATCACTAAGAAAATTTAAACTATAACTGAATGTATTTAAAGAAAGGGTTAGCCTGACCCTGATTTCAACAAGCAGCTCACAGTGTTCCTGTTGCACCTCTAGAAACATCAGTTGCAAATGCAGCTTTGAATTGTTTGCTTTGTTCCAGTGAGGTCCTGACAGTGTTAATAGTGGTTCCTCCTGGGAAATCAACAGCTGCTCAGGTGAGTCGTCCTGTGATTCTTAATATTTACTACACTGTGTATATTGCGCACTTTACTGGGTCAAACCATGTTCCCCAGAAAGCTTTGTGGTGGAAAATGACCCTTTATTGCAGTCAATGCTAGGTAGTGCGTAGAGTCAGTAACCTGCAGGTGTAAATCCACTGCTGCTGAGCTCAGATATCAGATAGATGGGCACCTCAAACATGGAGACAGGAGATTATAGCAGTGAGCACAAGCACTGTTTTATTCTGTTTTCTTTAGGCTTGTGATGTGTTATTTTGATGTTTTTTAAACATTGTAGTTTCAAGGAATGTTTTGTTTTATGCAGACTCTTTTGAACAGTGTAATTTGACATCAACATTCTTATAGTTGGTGGAATGTGTTGTGTTTATAGTGCAGGACTGTCCTGTTTGATTCATGCAGTCAAGCCACTTTTTTTTTTTTAAACTCCGTGTGCTGTTCTTCTACTCTTGATTATCTGTTTGCATATGTGTTCTGCCCTCTTGTCAAACGCCCTGCTTGATTTGGCAGACCGATAACGCCTTCAAATAACAACAGACGCAGATAATCTTTTCTCCAGCTTTACTATCGATCTTGGAATAACGTAAAACTGTAAACATACAAAATACAGAAATATAAGCATGTAAATCAATAACGTGATCACATAAGACGTAAAAAGGTCTTTATACAGAGAATAACTAGCATTGCCTCATCAGAAATAGATCGCACAATTTGCACGCTAAAGGCAATAAGGTTAGCATCCGGCATACAAAGAATTAACTAAACATACAGTAAATAGAATCACTATATAGAAATGTTTTCATACTGAATGTGCCTTTTGGATCAACTTAAACTGGGGAATGAAAGCAGCCATAAATGCATGGTCTTCTCTGCTGCTGCTGAAGATCTGACACATGATTATGACGTTGTCATATAAGGACTCTACAACCTTACATGCAGTACCCAACTTTGAACAGAAGAGGGTGCCTAACTATAACCTTTGAATTAGACTAAATATCAAATGTTCTTGTAGAACAGCACAATATGTCCTTCTGCCCCTCACTCTTGCAAACCTGACTTAATTCCAGCTGTAGCCACACTCTTAACTCAGACCTGGGTTTGAAAAGAGGACACATCAGCACTCTGCTCTCCACCAGATTACAGTACTTTTTTAATGAATGTAATTATTGGCACTAATTGAATCTCATTTATACAAAAACCTCTTATTGGGATTCAGAAATGATTTGGCAGCTCAATGTCTATTATAGTATACAACATACAGCTTTTTTTTTTTCTTTTTTTTTACAATCGCTAGGACACATTTCTCAGTACTTGGGTACATTTTTCTAAACTCTTCACACTGTGAGCACAACAGCAGTCGATGTGGGCTAAACTGTGGATCATTTATAATTGCTTTGGCACAAAGTGCATTCAATAACTACATCTTTCAAATTACATTATTTTCTCACTCAGACAAAAACAACGGCAAAACTCAATGCACCTACAAGCCAGTTTGCACCTGTTTACATACACTTTACAAAACTTTTAAGCCCAAGTTCAAAGCTTAACATAATACAAAGACGAATAAGACAGAAATTTGCTACATTTCTACAGTAATACCATATTGAAATGTATTCTGAATTAAAAAAATAAATAAAATAAAAATAAATTGGAATGTGCATAAGGTGAAATGTGTCTTTGTTTTGAGAACTGAATAAATATCTTGTGAAATTGTGCTGACTGAGTTGTTAACAATATGAAAGTTTGTTCTGTGGAGTATGTATGCATTCCAGTATAATATATAGCCTAGTATATTATAATGTCTACTAAAACATTACATGATTGAAGTGTTTACTCATAGGCCATTGCTTACATTATGAATTCATCTTTACAGTTTTTTTCAATTGCTAACAAGCGTTTACCAATACTTAAAGCACTTTTTCAAAACTCTTAACACAGCAACACACCTACATCACAAAATTAGCCAAATAGTTAATTTTCTGGCCAAAACCATATTTTGTTAAATAAATACAAACTCTACATTTCAAAATGCCGAACACCTTTTTCTACATTTACTAACTCTATCAAAACACAGCAAACCCGATTCAAAATAGAGTCATTCAGTCAAAACATTGGCACAGGTTTTCTATCCAATAGGAACATATAGTCAATCATAGTGCATAGACTGTCAAAATGATAACAATTAATGGCATTACAAAAACTGCATTACTTGTCATGTCTCAGTTCAACCTGTATAGAACATACAATATGAGATCCATAAAAAAATAAAAAAATAAAAAATAAAATAATAATAATAATAATTCACTCAGCTGAACTCTACTTTTTTTTTGTGTGTGTGTAAATGTGTGGATTCATTTTAGATCGTATGTGTACAGCATAGTGAAGGAGTCATCAGTACTTTATGGAATGTAAAAGAAAAATGACAGAATTGCTGCAGTAAAGGCTTTATTGGCTAAATGAAATTTCTGTGTGAAAAAAAAACATACAGCCCTTTGCCTTTTGCCCCCTACCTCTCCTTCTCCTTTGTCAGAAAAAAAAAAATCATACAGCCCTTTGCCCTTTGGTTCAAATAAATTTCAAAAATAAAACAAAATGACAGACAAAAAAGGAACAGAAAAAGTACAGTTCTAATCTATACGATCTTCAGCATTTGGCCACATGTTCTCGTCGACATCACACCTTATATTGTCTCTTGCTATGCACCTTGGATAGAAACGCTTAGCATGCCTTATCCACCCCTGGCAGTCTTCAGCTGAGATGTCTCTGCAGCCAGCCTCCATTGCATGGTCCAACTACTCCTCTCCCTCGTCCACCTTGTCCTCTCCCTGGTCCAACTACTCCTCTCCCTCGTCCACCTTGTCCTCTGCCTGGTCCAACTACTCCTCTCCCTAGTCCACCTTGTCCTCTGCCTGGTCCAACTATTCCTCTCCTTCGTCCAACTCTCCCGCATCCAGAAATTTTATTTATTTTTTTTGATTCTCGGTGTTGTTCTGTATTGTTTGGAACAAAACCAGTCCAGAGAGTGCCTTTTTATTGTGCATGGCCATGTAATGGAAAGACTTGGAATTAATCATTAAGACTGGAATCAGCTATTTCTCAATTATCAGTGATTAAAATAATTCTTATCAGCTCTTTTAAGCTGCTGTTGATGCAGAAGTAGAGGCGTTACATTATATTTAAAGTTTGGAACATTAGGTCTTCATTTCTGTTATGCTGTGTTTAAGCATTTGTAAAAAAAGATAAGAAAGATCCATGATTTTGGTTTTGGGTAAGCTTGTGTGAAAAGAAAATGTAAACATTTTAGAAACGTGTTAATTGACTGAATATTGTGTGAAAACAACATGAATTGTGTTAATGGTACGGTCACAACAGACGGATGTTGTGCTAATTGTGTTTAGAGTTTTGAAAATGTGACTACCGATTGGACAAAGGGATGTTAGCAATTGAAAAAACTGTAATGTTTTTGTTATTCTATCCAGTTGAATCCACAAGTTGCGCTGAAGCTGCATTTTTAATTCTAAATATTAGAGAAATATAGAAGCTCAATGCGGAGAAGACATTGGTTAGGTTAAAACTCAAACCAAGCCATTTACACAGAACGCATATTCTGCGCGTTCTTGAGACACACAACTTTGACTGAACACTCGCGTCTCACACGAGATGAATAGAAAGCAATGTAAAGTTAAAAGAGGTACAACTTTTAGAAAACTAGAATTTGTGGGGTTTTATTCCATTCCACTGCGTCTCATATGTTTTTAAATGCAATCGTGTGATCGGCGCTTTTGGTTATTTGTATTAAGCTATGCATAAATATATGATGCTGTTTTGTTCATATTGTTTATGCAATTTACGAAATTATATTTGATTTATAAATGTTAGTTTAGACGGTATGCACTTTTTTTATAGCTGCTATTTCAT